TGCCAGCCATTGGATGTTGGCGTGATATGTCCATTCAAGAAGCTACTTCGTACTCTTTGGTTCGAGGAAACGCCGGTACAGTAACTACAGCTTCGGAGAAACGATTGGCCATGATCAAGTGCTCAATTTCGGCATGGGACAGAATTTCGCCGGAAGCCATCAAGAGTGCATTCAAGAAGGCAATTCCAAAACCCGAAATTGTCGTGGTGTTAAGTCGATAAGGAATGCATTTGTGGTTAGGTCAGGCCTCATTAAAGGTGGAAATCTATAAATAGTTTTCATTTTTAAGGTCCGAAATGTTCCCATTTTTAAGGAATTTTCGCAACCCGGTCTCTCTCCGTCTTATTTAAGGCACATGTGACCGAGCAGAGACAGTCGTTGCTTCATCCGGACTCCATACGAACCTCTACCGACTTCCACGGGCCAACCCATTGGTGCTGGAGCAAGCGGACGTCGAAGCCACCCGATCACTTCAACTGACACGGCATCATGGGCCCGAAGGAGGCTCGTATGGTCTACGACCAGTCGTGGTCGTTGGAATACGCCATGGAGGTCACCGAAAGAAGCTCGGGCGGCGCCGTCACCTCCACGATCTGCCTGTTCTGCAAGTTCCACGGCCGCCAACTCGACATGGTGGGCCGCCAGCGCGCTGCCAGGAAGGGGCCGCAATACCCCACCTCGTGGCGCACAGATCTCTTCCTGAAACATCTCACCAGTCAGCACGCTGACTTGTGGGATGAGCCAGATCGTGGACTTCTTTGCCGAGCGAGTAGCGCAAGTGGCTGGCGGCCATCCTCTCGTCCTCAACCAGCTTTGGTGGAAGTTCACGTACGCGATCGCGCCCGCCATCAATTGCATCAACATCACGTTCGCCCAGCTGCAGTGCAAGTCCATCGTGATCTGCCAGCATCGCACGATCGTCAGCGAGCTCGTTGCCGATGTGTTGGCAACGAGCTCGCTACGTCGACGTCGCCGTCGTGGACCTCAACGACTTGGACGAGTCGGACTGCCTGCTCATGGACGAGCGCTTCATCCTCAACGAGTCGTTGAGAGGTCACGTTGAAGATCAGGGATCTCGGGCCATGTCGCACCTCGGCAAGCTCGACGACATGAAGAAGGTCATTGCCGAGCTCGGCAAGTTCGTCCTGCAGACGACCATGGGCCTGGTCGCCATGCAGGCGGAGCGCACGGCGGAAAATGAGGCTGGAGAAAACGCGCCGCACGTCATGCCGGCCGAGCTCGTCAAGGTGCGCCCTGCCTCGTTCGTCGAGGAGATCATCGGCCGACATATGAACCGCCTGAATATGTTCTGGACGGCCGACGACATCTACTCGATCGAGGAGGAGCATCGCGTCCTCATCGCCGCCTACCGCAACTAGCGGAACCTCCAGTCGAGCATTGACGGGAATGATCACACGACCGAGTTCAACGACGCCTAGGACCAGATCTGCGCCGGTGGACGGTTCGAGCTTCTGCGTCGGTTCTG